CAGCTAACGAGCTCAGGACTTTAAAACTTGAAATAATTAAAAGAGAAAAGAGAGCGACTTTTTCTGTTTGTCGCTTAATTGGACACCAGATACTTCCGGTATAATTACGAAACTGGAAACTGGCATATTAAGGGAGAGAATGAAATGGCACAAAATGAACAAAACAATATTATATAATTAAGTGGTTAATTTTTATTCGGGGAGTTTCTCGCGGCCGATTTAGCGGCGCTTATTAGCCCGTTCAAAAATTTATTAATTAACAATGAACTCCTGGTGAAAGGCGCGACAAAATGACGGTTAATTAAAGAGGGAAAACCAAGTAGCTGCTACGATTTGAGGCAATTTTCTGCTGGATTTCTAGGTGCCCCAACGTGTATTTTTTGGGGTAAACCCCGCGAAACGAATGGAATGAGCTCGGGCCGGGAGTATACAATTTATGGTAGCCTAGTGACCCTCTGGAAAGTCCGAAATTCACGTCTTACTTATCGGTTGCCTCCGGCGCCAATTCCAACTTCCACAGAGCTTATATGCGAGTTAGATTTTCCATGAGATTTTGCGCCTTTTGGGACTGGAAACATTGAGAATATATAGGGGGATTTCAGTCCTTTTCCGCGCTTTCTGGAGGAGTTTCCTTTGAGGATTTATCCTGTATGGAAAAGTGGAAATAAATGCATTAGTCGGTGCATAACAGATTTGGTAGCGGTCGCAACGCAGGCAGCGCCACTTAATAGCCTCCATACGGTTTAATATCCAAAAGCCGCAAATTCGATCTCGAAGAGGGCCTCCAGAGCCATCGGGGGCGCAATAAACCCGAAGTAGCAAGCAAAAAAACCCCCACAGAGGCATATCTGATTGCATCTCGACGCTTTCAGCGTCTGAACTTCTTTACATTCTCAAATGCACTCTGATTTCAGGGAACAGTGTCCCCATTTCTAACGGGGAATTTGAGCAGGGGCGTAACTACTACTTTTTCAAAGGGTGGAAAATATCGGCTTTTCTTTCGAAATCCCTTCAAATGCCGGTGGCAGGTTCCACTCAAAAAGCCAAATTTAAATCACATATTTCAGCAGCAAATAGGGTGTTTTCATTGTATCAAAAATTTCTACAAACTGAACATTAATCTATGGTAATATATATACAGTTGAGTCCGGATATAACGAACTTGAAAAATGAACTAAAACTGGTTCGTTATATCCGGAGTTCGCTATAAGCGAATAATAATACAAAAACACGTGGTGTATTTTTTTATACTTTCGTTATTTTTACATAGAGTAGTAGAAGTTAGTAGGTGTGACTAAAAAGAACACAAAAAGATAAACAACATTCAATTTGAAATCTACTTCATAGTCAAGTCTGTAATTTTTGTTTGTACATTTCTGCTGCAAAAATAAATGTTATTTATGTAATTTTCAAGATCACAAAAGAACTCCCAGATATGATTAGGAACTTGGCGTGATTGTAGAAAATTGCGAGTTTCTGACACTTTTTTTGTCATTTCAGAAATGGTTGGAACAGCATTAGTGTCTACAGTAGAATGCGTTTCACCTAAATCGTCATCTTTCTCATTATCGCTTAAAGCTGTAGATGAGGTTACGGAGTCTATAATTTGCTCATCGGTCAACATTTCTCT